AGATCATCTTTATGACAAAACTTCCTTCAGGAGCAGAAGAAAAATATTACTGTAAAACTGAAACACCAAAAGATGAATGTAGGCTTGTCTGTGCAGTGGGATGGAGATGAAGCATTTCATGAAAACCTACCCTTTAAAAATGGTTAGAGAGACAATTTTGTGCCATGGGAAGGTGCGTCCAAAGGGTCAAACATGGTTGACTTTCAGGGGCATCCACAGCAAGCTGAGATTTTATCAAAGTGATGAAATGTGTGTCATGATATCACAGCACAAGTTCTGCCTCTTATGTTCTTGCAGATGACATTGTGATGCCCATTTTGTCATTTGCTTCCTTCACCACCATCCCTCCCCTTCCCCCAATGCCCCTCTTGTCCTCTATTTTAATATGATTAGTATAAAGTCTACTGGCTATTTCACCTATGGCCAGGTTTACTTTTGTGTTCTTTCCTTAAGATGCTCTGGTGGAGGCCTTTCCCAAAGTGAAGGAAGGTATCCTAATCCAGATACCTTCAGGAAAACAGGATGCATCTAATTCTCTTGGTGGGTATTCCTTGGCCTCAGGGTGGTGCTTCCTCCTGAGTGAGTTGGCAGAGCCCTTTATTAACCTTTTGCAAGAAGTAGCTGTTCAAACTGGCTGTAATTTCCAGTCTCCCAGACAAACTCTGACTGCTACATGGCATCCCTCCCTCATGTTCTTAGTCAACCTGCTGGGATCTCCCCATTGGGGTCTACTGCCTTTCAGTGGATCTTACAGCCTGCACCTCATTATTCTATATCTATCTATCTATCTATCTATCTATCTATCTATCTATCTATCTATCTATCTATCCAGATTTATAAAGCCACTCATCTCACAAGCATGACTCTAGGTGGCCTACTATAAAACAGTCAATTAAAACACATAAAAACCAGAATTAAACACAATTAAACACAAAAACAATCAAACACAAATAAGACTGCAGGAGAATGTATACACGGTGTATAACCATCTTGCTGGCTCCCCGTTCCCCTGTGATCCCCAGGTCTAATGGAAGAACCATGCTTTCAGGGATTTCTTACATGCTACTCAGGTAGGGACTAATCTCACAGGTGGGAGGGCAAAAAAGGCCTGCCTCCTGGTTTCATCAGATGGAACTCTTGAGTAAACATATCCGCCGTTGTGCTCCTCCTGCTGGAGCTGATGGGACAAATATATGTAACCAGGGAGAGGCTGTCTCTCAAATAACATGGTCCCCTTTTAGACTGGGAATTATTTTTCTTCCCTTCCACACTATCCTGTCCTGGGCTCAAGGCTACCATGCTTTCAAGCAGAATCCCCTGCTCTTTCAGTTACTTCTGGATATTGCCTGCTGTATATACATCTCCACTGGCCATATGCAATATTTCAGGCTTTCTTCTTGCTGACTAAAACACATATTTAAATGCCTCCAGTACTTTACTCTTTTCACTCAGTAAGTCACAAAAATGCGAACCTCCTGAAATTGTTTATGAATGTTAGGATATTTTTTTTCTATATGGTGTGGTGACTTACATTGGCCCACGAACGCCACTCTGTACTAATTCTAATGTTTTTTCCTCACTTTTGTCATTCTTTTTACATGTATTGGCTTAATGCCTGTAGCCTTAACACAACATGCCCCTCTGGAGTGCCTTACATACTGTATGGCTGCAACGTTAGTCCTTTGACTCCAGTGTACAAACTGCACCTGGGACTCTCTTCTCCAGCCTGCTCCGCTATAGATTTATACATTTTAACTGCTCTTCTTTGCTGCTCTTGCCTTGTCTTCTAGTCAGATCACGTCTTCTGAAGGCTGCCTTTGATAAGCAACTCTTCGTTCTTCATCGCCTTTAATTCTCCCATCACATCTTTTCTCTGTGATAGATTTCACTGAGAGCAGACTTGACCCCAGATCTGGGACACAGATGGCATCTTTCAGACTGAGCAGCTCTTCTCTTCTAACGCACAGTGGAAACTGACAGAGCCTTCCTTACATCTGTTCTCTTCTATGGGAACCTTCCTTGTCGAGGGAATGGTGATTTCTACTCATTCCATTCTAGAGGTTCTCCCTGCTCTTCAATAAAAGTAGATGTGGCTGCAGAATCAAAACCAATGCCATCGGGTGGCCCATTGGATCTCGTTGTATGGATGTAGTGTATGTAACTCATTGTAGTTACATGAAGGGGTATATAACCTCTAACCTTGTTGTCTTTGGGACTCTTGGGGGTGCCTGGCCAGGAGACCAGTGATCATTGAAGGTTTGTGCATTCATCTCCAAGTGCTTTGATGAAGGAGAGATGTTGCCAGGCTTTCAAAATTCTGTTATGACAGCCTTTATCTTTACCCACAAAGGCAAGTTCTACTATTTCTTGTAGCGTCTGTTTCCTGACCTGGTCTACTCAAAGGGCTGACAATAACTGGCAGAATAGATGCTTTTTGAAACACTGCCCAGTTAGCTCTGGTGAGAAAAACCAAAAGAAGAAACAGTGACTAATGAAAGCATTTGAAATGTTGTAGAAGAGTATAACTAAAAGGTTTGTCACCATGCTGTGTGCAAAGTGTGATATAAGCAAGTCATGCGGATTGTATCCATTCCTGTCTCAAAGAGGATCCCTCTGAGGAAGGATAGTTATTTTGGGCTTTGGAAAAGGAGACTCCCCCCATCCTCTCCCTTTGGGTAGAGGAAAAGGGTTTGCCTTTCCAGAATCCGAGAATGACGTGATGTATTGAGGCTGGGAAGAGAAGCCAAGGAATATTGCTCCTGAGTTTTAGGCTGAAATTGACTAGGATTTGGGAGACTTGACAAAGCCAGCAGGAATAGATGAGAAGTTAGAGCTTGGAAACATTGCATAAGATTGCTTCTGTTTGTGAAACGTGCAGTTATTTAAGCTTTATGGATGCAGGTTTCTATTCTCTCTGATGCAGACTTTCTCTGTGCAAGCGAGTCTTAATTAACAGACCAAAACAATCTTACAATCTGTGATAACTCTTTTGAATTTTTTTCATTGGATATTCACTTGAGAGGCTGTGATTTGGACAGCTCTGTTTCTTCCCTTTCTGATTGCTTTGCATGTCACTAACATTAAAAACTATTTTTACATTTTCTCAACTCTTTTTCTAAAACAATAAAGTGAATTTAATCTACACCTAATAAGATTGATCCATCACTCAAGGAGGGAATGGATTTTTCTGAAGTCACATGTCTTATCCTATGAAGTCAGGAGGTGGCGGTATAGAATTGATTTCATTTCTGTCAGATTCTTACCCAAGATAGTATGTAGACCCAGAAGACTTTTGGGGGAGGAGCTTTCACTCCCCAACCTCTTATCCCATTGGCTCAGTTCTGCTACTACAGTGTTCAGAATCTCCAAACACTGAACCTGTTCTTTTAAATGTTTACCGATTGAACTTCACTGGGTTTGTTAAAATTAGTTTTTTTTAAGTCCAAGGAGCACATCTGATTAAGCTTATTTTTCACAACTCTTCTTTTCCATACAGTATATAGGTAGGATATTGCATGAGCACAACACCCTTTTGCTACTAAAAAAAAAAAAGTCTGCCTTAAAAATAGCAGAGAAATGTTGTGCTGATGCTTGCATGAGATCTGAACAGCTTCTTCCTGATAGTTTACAAAGCATGCACAGCAACCTGTCTGTTTCTTAAGTCCATGCAGGATTGGTTCTAGTCATATTTAGACAAGATCCACTGAAATGAATGGGATGCAAATGCGTTATGAGATGTATAACACTGTCATAACTTGAAAGATTAAATCCATTCAGTATGTTATGATCATTATCAAACATCACAGATAATATCTCCAATGTTTGGCATGTTCTGTTCATCCTACTGTCAGAACATCCCTGGTTGTGGAACTAAATCTTCTGATACCCAGACTTGGACTTTGCTCCAGCCCATTACAAATCCCAAACGCTGAGCAGATTGGGGAAATGTGAAAGAGATTTTAATTGAGCCAAAAGAAAGTGATGATCTCTAATTAATTCTGTCTGCAACCAAAACCTTCTATGTAGCTCAGCCTGATCCAGAGCACTGTGTGAGTGAATGTTACTTGCGCATTCTCAGTTAAAAGAGGGGTCACTAGATCTTCCAAATACTATAGAATAGAATATGCTTTGTTGTTGTTGTTGTTGTTTATTAAAGTTTTTTATTTTTTACAACAAACACAAACATACATAAACAAAGAGCATAAAAAACATAAAAACCATCTTCCATCTTAAACCGTGTGTCAGCCAGTTACCAATTATTTGTGCCATCCTTTCATAGTCTTCACTCACCATTTATATAGAGTCTCATATTATCTATCATATATTTATA